AGCAAGCCTCATGTTAGCTTCAAGCTGCCTGGCTGCCGGCCGCCATCTTGGCTGGCAGTTAATTTGCATATCGCCCTGATTAGCCAATGGGAAGGGTAGCGGTCGTATGGCTAATTACCATGTTTCTCTTTTATTAGATAGGATTATAAATCACACCATCACAAGAGCCCACCCTAATCCAATATAGCCTCCTCAATTAATTACAGCAAAGTCCCAATTTTCCAAATAAGGTCATATTCTGAAGTTCTGGGTTTTTGTGAATGGGGGGACGGGGTAGGGGGGCACTATTCAACTCAGTACAGATGAATTGCAAAAATCTTCCAACCTGCAGATGACCTTTCACTCTTTTTTAAAATTCTCACCTGAAGATATTTTTTCCATTCATGTTTAGAGAGAGAGAGTGGAAGGAGGGAGGCAGGAGTGGGGGAAGAGAGAGAAAGAGAAACATTGATGTGAGAGAGACATATCAAATGGTTGCCTCCCACATGCTACATGCCCCAACTGGGGCCAGGGATGAAACCTGCAACTGAAGTACATGCCCTTGACAGGGAATTGAACCCGGGAGCCTTTGGTCTGCAGGCAGATGCTCTAACCACTGAGCAACCAGCCAGGGCACCTTTTACTCTCTTATTGGTGTCTTCTAAGGGGTAAAAGTTCCAAATTTTATATAGTCCAATTTACCAACTATTTATCAGCCTTTTATAGTTAGTGTTTATGTATCCCATTTATGAAACACTTGGGTTCCCAGCACACTATACCTGTTCATTAAAGTCGAAACTGGTGTGTCAAGGTGGCCAGTAGGATGGTTGCAGATAAATTGAAGGCATAGGGGAGTTTAGCTTAAAGAAAAGAACATCAGGGGCAAACAGGATAATGGTTGTAGCAAATGTTGCTATCCCACCCATATCGCCTCCTCATCCCCAAAGACTGCTCATTGAGGACCCCATGGACTCAGCATAAGAGCCTTTTTCCTGATCACAGAGCACCCTCAGTCTGCTCAGAGGACAAGGAGAATGGGACGCAGCCTTCAATCAATGCCAACCAGAGAGCTGGGGTCCAGGTGAATGTCTCTGCTGCCTCAGCCAGCAGTTGAGCTGATTCAGATTCGGCCCCGCTCCCAGACCCTGCAGTGGAACTGAGCCTGAGCTAGCTGCTGCCCTCGGTGACCTGCTGCCCAGATAATACACCTCGTGTTGGCACTGGCTCTTCCCACTCTGGCATCCCCCCTCCTCTATGGCATCTTCAGGAATCACATCCCTCTGAACGGCTGAAACCTCAATTCCTCATCTTCCAAAAGAAGAAAAGAGAAATTAGGCATTTTTGTATAGAGTTGGGTCTATAAGTAGAAGCAATGGGAATATAGATTTAAGCTAAACTTTTAAAAAATATTTTTTATTGATTTTAGAGATAAAGGAGGGAGAGGGATAGAGAGCTGTTCGTCCCCTACTGGAGATGGAGCCTGAAACCTGGGCAGGTGCAGTGACCTCTTGGTTCATGGGTCAACACTCAACCACTGGGCCACACCAGCCAGGCTCAGCCAAATTTTGAAAAGAACGTAAGAAAACTTTGTGACACACCGACAGATCTGTCCTGGGTTGAGCCGAGTTCAAAGGTGAATTCCCTATCCCTCAGTAGTTAAAAGTGTCTGGGATGTATTTGAAAGGTGCCAGTTACCCTGGAAAAAGTCTATGGTTCAAGATGAGTACTGAATGGCCTTTTTAAAAAAAAAAAATCTTAACTTCAGAATTTTAAAGTCTGGGGTCATATCAGGACTTAGAATAACTGAGCACAGATAGTCACGAAACATGGATCTGAAAATCCCATCAACCCCTTCCAAAGACTTTTCTGGGCAAAAGTCACTGCCCCTTTTGGGAATTCACTTTCTCTGTTTCAGCCAAATCTGGCTAAAATATAGATTCCTGGATCCCTGCCCACCCCCAGGCCCCATCAAGAGCCTGACTCGGGGGGTGCAAAGCAGTGACTGGGAAAAGTGTATCGTTCAGACTCCAGGCAGTGGTGTCCTGTCAGGCTTGGGACCCTCTATACCACATGAGATAGCTTTGAGTGCCCCCAAGCAGCTCTGGCACCCTGTGGGGGGGGGGGATGTGTGTGTGATACTAAAAACACAGGAGGCACATTCTGTTCTTTTTTCTTTTCTTTTTTTTTTACATTTAACTGAAAAGATTGTGTTGGCTTTTTGGATAGAAACAGGAGTTTATGTAGGATGATCTCATCACACTTCTGCCAGAACCAGCACACGGCCTCCTCTTTGCTGATGCTGTTTGGCCCCAATGCAGCCTGTCCTGCATTTCATGTCTGCGATGCTGAAACCTGGCCTACCCATCACCACATGGAAGTCCAGGCCGTAGAGACAAATACTTGGGTCATATGTGACCCCCAGGATCGATGTGTTCCTGGATCCCAACACCAAAGTTTCCAGTGTCTGAGAAGTTATTTTTTTTGTAATTCATACTCTCACACCTTTAGACCTTTTTCCAAGGTTTCTTCTGCCTTGGCCCCACAGACTGTGGAGTAGACAGCAACCGTTTCATCCTTCTGATGCCAAAGGAGCTGACGGTATATCTGGCTTTGGAGAACACAGGGGTCTAGCCTGGGAGCGTCTCCAGGACCTTGGCTGGCTGAGTCAGCAGGGCTTTCAGATGTGAAGCACCTGCATGGGGTTCTCCTCTTCACCTGGATCTGCACCACGATGAGCAACAGGCAGAGAGCTGGAGCCTTGTTCTTGACCGCCCATTGCCATGGTCAGGCTGCCCTACACACGTCCGGAGACTGGCCAGATCTCCCAAGAGATAAGCAATGTTTATAAAGCAAAGAAAGCTTCAGCCAAGAACCCGGTATTTACCTGGAACAACTAATGGTGTTGTAAAGGATTTTAGGTCAGTTTGCTGGAACTATTTCATTTCATGTTTTCGAGGGGAAAGTGGTGACACAACACTGGGCCAGGCTCTCCGTTGCATGCCGGCGGCTCCTCCCAGCCCCTCCTCCCAGGATATTGTCTCACGTTTCAATCTTCTCAAAGATATCAGATTACTCATTTTATTTAGAATTCTCTTCAGGGACCGCTCGGCCCCATAAAAGGGTGTCTGGTTAGGACAGGAGGAATTGGGGAGAAGGCTGTGAAGGGCTTGCAGCACCATGAAGAGCTTCCCCACAGCTCCCCCTGTCCTACTTTTCATCCTGACTGTCGGTCTTGCAGCTGCCCCACGTATGTAGCTGCCCCACTCCCTTTCTAGGATGACGAGGGGTAGAAGCAAAGGGGTCTCCAATCTCCTTCCTTTCTCTGTTTTTTTTTTAGGTGGCAGTGATGTGGCCAAATACTGCTGCTTACGATTCATCCAAAAGACCTTGCCCTGGAACTTGGTGCAAAGCTATGAATTCACTAGGAACAGCTGCTCCCAGCAGGCTGTGATGTGAGTATTTCTCAGCTGGGCATGAGGGTCCCCGATAGCCATGTATTGGGTGGGTGCAAGGCAGGCCCCTACAGTGTCAGGATGCGCTTCAGGGTGGGAACCTGGGAACCTGGGTTGTTATCCTTCCTCTGCCACTAACAAGTGTGACTCTGAGCTTTGGTTTCCTAACTTCCATATCATGTGCCGGGCATGTACCAGGCACTGTGCTAAGTGCTGAGTATAAAAGAGCAAACAAGACAGTCGTGAGCTAGACCTTACATCTAGCATAAGGAAGGGGGCATTAAAAGACATTTTCACAAAATAGATGATCTCAATTGTGATAGGTGCTTGAAGGGGACAGCAGGAAGGTCAGCAGGAGGGGGAGGCAAAACTTTATCTCTAATCTCTTAGGCTGGGCTTGGGAATCAAATTGATAGACAGATGAATAGGAGAAGAAAAGAGTACAGATTTCACATGTACATGGAGACCTCATAGGAAAATGAATACCTCCCCAAAGTGGCAAAACTTAAATGCAGGTATACTAAAATGAAGAGAGGCAACTGTGGAAAAATAACTAAAATGTATGGGGGAGGCCGTAAAGGATGATAAGAGTTATCTTAACAAGCTGTGTTTCTACAGAATTCTCTTGGCCTTGACTCCCTATTTCTGGTAACAAAATGTTTCTTTCCTCCTGGTACAAGGAGGACATTTTTTACTGAGGGGTTTTATCTCCTGCTTCCAGGAAGAACGGAGGAGGCCAGAGAGCCCTTCTTGGACCACTTTTTTTTTTTAAGTGCCTTTAGCTCAAAATAATCTTTATGCCAAAGTGGCATATTTTGCAGCAGCATATTCTGCCACTGTGTAGCCTAGTCACAGGCGGACCTCACTCAGTGTCAGGAGATCCCCCTGAGGAAGTGACATTTACACTGAGACCCTTGAGGAACAGTGGGAGCAGCCTAGGGAAAGGGGGCAGGAAGGAGCATGGGTGTACCAGGCAGAGGGAGCAGCCGGTGAGTGGAAGGAGGATGAACATGTCACTGACCAGGCAGACAGGTAAATTGGAGCCAGGTCATGCCGGGCTCATTGGTAGCAGGAGTGATGACACACGTCTCGCAGGCTCCCTGGCAGGACTAAATGAACTCCTATATGCGAAGCGTTTACTGCTGTGTCTACACACAGTGAATGTTCAACAAATGTTGTGTAAGTGGCTGAATTTGGGCACATCACCGCCACATGCAGAGGTAGGGTGACAACCCAAGTTACCAACATTCAACAAAAGCATCTTTAAGTGCAAATACACAGGGAGCAGCAGGTCCCTGCTCCTGGACATGGGTTCCTGAGCAGGAGAGAAGGGTGCCGAGGGGAAAGGTGGGGCTCCGGAGGCCAACCTGAATGCCATCATGTTGAGACAGTTAAGGAGGGGAAAGAGACACTGAAGAGCCTAGGTAAGGACAGGGGCTCTCTGGGGCTCAGGATGTCCTGGGCCTCTCATCTGTGTCTTAATTGGCTTTAGAGTCAGCAACACTTAACCAGCAGCTGGCAAAGAGCCCTGAGCTGGACTCACAGCAGTGGCTCTGTCACTTACAAGCTGCATGACCTTGGGCAAGTCAAGTTTCCTGTAAAAGGAAGGAGAGAGGTTTCTATCTGTTAACTGTGGCTGCATAACAAATGACCCCAAAGCTTAGGGGCTTCATGCAACAGCAGCCAGTTTCTTATCTCCCGTGGTTTTTGTGGGTCCAAAATTCCAGAGGGCTTGGCTGGGTGTTGGTGGCCTGATGGTGCTGGAACTGGAACAGCTGGGGCTCGTGGCATCTCTCTCTCTTCAGGGCCTCTCTGTGTGGTCTCTTTGTTGGGCTAGTTCAGGCTTCCTCACAGTATGGTACTCTGGGGTAGAAGGACTTACAAGGTGGTTCAAGGCTCCAGCATAGGTGATCCAGTAAACCAGGCAGGAGCTCCACCATCTCTTCTGACTTAGCCTGTGGAGTCACACAGTGTCACCTCTGCCATACTCTGTTGGTTGACGAGTCGCTAAGGGGGACCTAAATTCAAGGGTTGAGAACATAGACCAGGGGTGGGCAAACTTTTTGACTCGAGGGCCACAATGGGTTCTTAAACTGGACCGGAGGGCCAGAACAAAAGCACGGATGGAGTGTTTGTGTGAACTAATATAAATTCAAAGTAAACATCATTACATAAAAGGGTACGGTCTTTTATTTTTTAGTTTTATTCATTTCAAACGGGCCAGATCCGGCCTGCGGGCCGTAGTTTGCCCACGGCTGACATAGACCTTAATCTCTTAATAGGAGCAACGGCATGCTTTCATATGTCCAGAAAGCTCTTCCCTCTCTTATTTCCCATTCTCTTGGCTTTTCTCCCCTGTGTGTCCTGGGGCCCTCCTGAGAGCCCTGAAAACATTGCTGGGTGCTGCAAGGTGCTCCAGGCTAGAAGGACCCAATCTATTCTCTCATAATGTCTGACTCTCAGGGTGCACGAGGCTGAAGGAGATTCAGGGACATTAACCACAACCCCCTTCTTAATGAGATCCCAGTGGAAATCAGGAATCATATATAAGGAATACAGGAATCATGGCAAACAACCCATGATTAATGTGGTTATGAATTAAGTGGCATAATGTGTATAAGGTTTCTTTTTGGAGTGATGCAAATGTTCTAAAATGGATAGTGGTGATGGTTGCTCCATCTATGGATATACTAAAAACTATCAAGTGATAATTATATACTTTAAACTAGAGGCCCAGTGCACAAATTCATGCACCAGTGGGGGCCCTCAGCCTGGCCTGCGGGATCGGGCTGAAACTGGCTCTCTGACATCCCCCGAGGGGTCCCGGATTGTGAGAGGGCACAGGCCAGGCCAAGGGACCCCACCGGTGCATGATTAGGGCTGGGGAGGGACGCGGGAGGTTGGCCAACCAGGGAGGGACCGTGGGAGGGCTCCACAGTGTGTTCAGCCCGTCTTACTCAGCCCCACCGATCGGCCGGACCCCAGCAGCAAACTAACCTACCAGTCGAAACGTCTACCCCCTGGTGGTCAGTGTACATCATAGCAACTGGTCAACCAGTTGACTGTCTGCCCCCTGGTGGTCAGTGCATGTCATAGCAAGCGATTGAGCAGCCTTAGCATGTCATTAGCATATTACATTGGTTGAACAGCTGACTGGACGACCAGACACTTAGCATATTAGGCTTTTATTATATAGGATGAGTGAATTGTATGGTGTATGAATTATATCTCAGTAAAGCTGTTAGATTAAAACAAAAGAGTTAAGAGGCAGGGTACAAGTTACGTTCTTTAGACTAGAGCAGGTGGAAAATGTTTCCTGCGGGAGGTGGGCCTGGAAGCATGGTTTCCGGCAGAAGGTGATGTATCCGACAGGAGGGAGGGCAAGGGCCAGAAAAGGGAGCAGGGGCCGTGGGACAGGGGTGTGGCAAGGCTGGAATATGAGTCAGGCAGCTGCCCCTCCATCCCTTTCCAGGAGGCTAAAGTCAGTATTGACTGCCAGCATCTCTTTCCCACAGATTCACTACCAAAAAAGGCCAGAAAGTCTGTGCACAACCAAAGGAAAAATGGGTACGAAGATATATTTCGTTACTGAAAGCTCAACAGAATTCGACGCAGCTGAACTTTCAGCCCAAGGACACCTGAACTCTTTCTTGACCCTGCTGTCCTGGGCAGAGCCTGGATAATTCCTTCAAAAGAAGGCTCCGTGGCTCCGTGGGGGGGGCGGGGGGGGGTATTTTCTACCAGAGTTTTCTTTGATGAAGGTTTTTTGTAAAGATTTGACTTGCTTTTTTACTTTTGTCTTTTCATTTTTGAGTTGTAAGAGGTCTTTATATATTCTGGATACTAGGCCCTTATTAAATATATTAGTTACAAATATTTTCTTCCATCCTGTGGATTGTCTTTTTACTTTCCTGATAGTACCCATTTAATGAACAAATTTGTTAATTTTTATGAAGTCCAATTTATCTGTTTTTTCCTTTGGTTGCTTGTGCTTTTAGTATCATTGTTAGGTCTGATCAAATAATTGAATCCACACCTCCTCCCCTGGGAATTGACGTTTAGACCATTTCACAACTGACATTCCCTTTTGCTTAGGCCACATTCCACTTGCTAAGACCACATTCCACTGTCTAAGACCATTGTTTTTCCCCTCAGGACCTCCCCAGAGAATTCTCCACCCAGAAAAAGCCCACTTAGAGTCCTTTAAAATCTCCGACTCCCTGTCCCTGGGTGCTGAAGCCATTTTCGGGCTCAGCCCATCTGCTTTTCCAGATGACCTAATAAATACATAATTCTTTACCCCTTTTGGCCTTGTGCGTACCACCTTCAGTGACCCTAACAATCATATCTAAGAAACCACTGCCTAATCCAAGGCATAGAGATTTACACTTATATTTTCCTCTAAGAGGTCTATAGTTTTAGTTTTACATTTAGGTATTTAATCCCTTTTGAGTTAGTATTTATATACTAGAAGCCCGGTGCACAAATCCATGCACCTGGCTGGTTTCGGTCCAATCCCCGCAGGCCAGGCCAAGGGACCCCAATGGTACACAAATCCATGTCCCAGGCATCTAGTATGCACATAAGATCTTTGGTTAATCTCTTCCCACCCTTCCCCTTCTCCCCTTCCCTCTGAGATTCATCAGTCTGTTCCATGTTTCCATGCTGTGCATTGAGCATGTGCCCCCTAGTGGTCATTGTGCATCATATCTACAGGACAGTTGACTGGTCAGCCAGTCGCTTAGGCTTTATTTGTATACTAGAGGCCTGGTGCACAAAATTTGTGCACAGTAGGGGGGCCGCTCCCTGCCAGTCTGATCGCCCCCTAATTGCTCCCCTGCCACCTGCCTAATTGCCCCTAACTGCCCTCCCCCGCTGGCCTGATCACCTCTTACTGCCCCTCCTGCCAGCCTGGTTGCCCCATGCAGCGTGCTGTTCAGTCGTTTGGTTGGCCCTCACTAACTCTCCTGTCGGCCTGGTCACCCCATGCAGCCTGCTGTTCGGTTGTTTTGTCATCCCTCACTAACCCCCCTGCTGGCCTTGTCACCTCACGCAGCCTGCTGTTTGGTCATTACTGTGAGAGTGTCCTGACCAATTTGCATATTACCCTTTTATTAGTATAGATGCTATAAAGTGGGTGCAATGGATTTTTGTATGTTGATCTTATGTTCTGAGACCTTGTTGAACTCACTGCTTAGTTCTAGGAATTTTTTTGTAGATTCCTTGAAATTTCCTAAGCACATAATTGTGTCAACTGCATATAGGGACAGTTTTATTTCTTTTTCTTTTTTTTTTTTTTTGCCTTCTTGTACTGACTAGAATTTCAAGTACTATATTGAATAACTGTTGAGTGTGAACATCCTTGCTTTGTTCCTAATCTCAGGGAGAAAGCAGCCTTTCATCATTAAGTATGATGTTAGTTGTAGTTGTTTTGGTGTTTGTGTGTGTTTTTTTAACTTAAAAAAATAAGTTGAGGAAATTCCCCTCTATTCCTATTTTTGAGAGTTCTTATGAATGGGTGTTAATTTTGTCAAAAGCTTTTCTGAATCAATTTAATTACATGATTTTTCTCTTTACATATTGCTGAATTAAATGTGCAAGCTTTTATTAAGGATTTCTGTGTCTATATTCATGGGAGATATTGGTCTGTAGTTCTATAGTTCTCTCTCTCTACTTACTGTCTTTGGTATCAGGGTAATTCTAAATAAAATTAATTAATTGGGAAGTGCTCCCTCAATTTCTTCTTTTTGTAAGAGATTGTGTAGAATGGTATTAAGTCCTTTTTATTTTTATTAAATTTTTTGTACACCCCAGTGACCAGACATTACATAACTTAATATGTGATAATCCCAATAAGTCCCACACCCGTCCAGCACTATGCCTAGTTATTAGAATACTAGAGGCCCGTTGCACAAAAATTTGTGCACTTGGGGAGGGGGGCCCTCAACCTGGCCTGTGCCCTCTCGCAGTCTGGGACCCCTCAGGGGATGACCACCTGCTGGCTTAGACCCACTACCCGGGGGATTGGGCCTAAGTTGGCAGTCAGACATCCCTCTGGCAGCCCAGGAGCCCTCGGCGGATGTCCATTTGCCAGCAGGGAGCAGGCCTAAGCTGCAGTCAGACATCCTTAGTGCTGCTGAGGAGGAGGGAGAGGCTACCACCAGCACAACTGTACTGGCAGCTGTCAGCCTGGCTTGTGGCTGAGCAGAGCTCCCCCTGTGAGAGCACACTGACCACCAGGGGGCAGCCCTCGGAGGACGTCCACCCCAGTGGGGACCCTCACCCCATGGAGGTTTGGCCAGCCTGGGTGAGGGGCTGATGGCTGTTTTCAGGCTGGCCACAGCCCCCAGCCACCCAAGCTCCCAGTGGAGGCTGGCTGGAAGCAGGTATCTGGGATTTATTTACCTTCTATAATTGAAGCTTTGTAGCTTTGAGAGGAGCTCAGGGCTGGCCAGGGCAGGTGGAAGGGGAAGCTTGGCTTCCTTTATCGCCGGGGCAACCCACGCCTCCTGCTTGCTCCAGCTCCGTGGCTGCTGGCCGCCATCTTGGTTGGGTTAATTTGCATATAGTCACTCTGGTTGGCTGGTGGGTGTGGCTTAAGGTGTAGCGAAGGTATGGTCAATTTGCATGTTTGTCTTTTATTAGTGTAGATTATTGACTATATTTCCTATGCTGTACTTACATACCTATGACTATTCTGTAACAACTAATTCTGTATTTCTTAATCCTTTCACCCTTCTTCCCACTGCCAACCTCCTTCCATCTGGCAACCAACAAAAAGTTCTCTATATCTATGAGTCTGTTTCTGTCCTGCTTGTTCATTTTGTTTGTAGATTCAATTGTTAATAGATATGTATTTATTGCCATTTATGATTTCTCCTTCTTCTTCTTCTTCTTCTTCTTCTTCTTCTTCTTCTTCTTTTTCTTAAATAAAACCCTTTAACATTTTATATCCCTTTATCATCTCGTGTAATATTGGTTTGGTGGTGATGAACTCCTTAAGCTTTTTCTTATCTGGGAAGCTCTTTATCTAAACTTCTATTTTAAATGATAGCCTTGCTGGGTGGAGGAATCTTAGTTTTAGGTCCTTGCTTTTCATCACTTTGAATATTTCTTGCCACTCCCTTCTAGCCTACAAAGTTTCTGCTGAGAAATCAGCTGATAATCTTATGGGAGGTCTCTTCTAACTAACTGCTTTTCTCTTGCTGCTTTTAAGAATCTGTCTTTGTCTTTAACCCTTGGCATTTTAATTATGACATGTCTTGGTGTGGGCCTCTTTGGGTTTCTCTTGTTTGAAACTCTTCCTCCCCCCCCCCCACTGGGGATGTGCCCGCAACCAAGGTACACGCCCTTGACCGGAATTGAACCTGGGACCCTTTAGTCCCTAGGCCGATGCTCTATCCACTGAGCCAAACTGGTCAGGGCTGGATTCTTTTTTTTTTTTCTGTTCTGATTAGGTGTTTTTGCTTCCTTATATTCTAAATTGCTGGTTTGATTATCAGCTTCATCTATTCTACTGTTGATCCCCCTGTAAATTATTTCAGTTAATAATGTAGCCTTCATTTCTAACTGGTTCTTTTTATGCTGTTGAGGTTCTCCCTAAGTTCCTTGAGCATCCTTATAACCAATGTTTTGAACTCTGCATCTAGTTCAGATTGCTTATCTCCATTTTGTTTAGTTCTTTTTATGGAGTTTTGTTCTGTTGTTTCATTTGGGCCATGTTTCTTGGTCTCCTCATTTTGGCTCCCTCCCTGTGTTTCTTTCTGTGTATTAGATAGAGCGTTTACGTCTCCCAGGCTTGGGGGCATGGCCTAATGTAGTAGGTGTCCTGTAGGGTCCAATGGAACAGTCTCCCCGAACACCCCAGCTGGCACTCAAGGTGGTCTCCCTGTGTGGGCTACACACCCTCCTATTGTAGTTGAGTCTTGATTGCTGTTGGGATGTCAATGGAAGGGGTTTACTCAATCTGATCAGCTGAAAGGACTGGCTATGACCACTGACCACCAATCTCCAACCACCTTGGAGGATCAGCTGTGCAGGGACGTACCATGCAGAGCAGGACTTACTTCAGCAGTGCTCTGGTACCTGCTGAGTCCATCCTTGAGTGTGTCGTTTATGGAGGTAGTTGGATGGTGGTGCTTTGACATAGTCTGAAGCTGTCCACTGGGTACTGGCTCTGGACTCTTTGGGGAGGTGCAGGCCAAGGTCAGTCACTGCCTGTGTTCTGCGTGAAGCTACCAGGCATGAACTACAAAGTGATATGCAGATGGCTGCTTCTTTTGCTGGCCTTGGAGGTGCCCAGGCAAGACCAAGCTGTGAACCAAGGCCGGCTGCTGCTAGTGGCAGGCCTGGGGCCACTTAGCAATAGGCACAGGTCTCTCTGAGGCCAGTTGCTGTTTGTTTGAGAGATTTTAGGAAAATCTGAAGCATGAGCCAAGACAGGCTATTCCTACAGTAAAGCCACTGGAAATAGCTTGGATGGGCCTGAAAGTTGGGTGAGGCAGGGTCTCAGGGACTCACCAGAGTGGGTTCTTGGACTATTTATGAAAACCTCTATAATAAATAATTTTCCAGTGATAGGTTCTTATTTTAATTCCTATTAATTATTGGTTGTGGTATGAAGTGTCTTGGATCATCAAATATTCTAATATGTTAACAATTCTTTTTTTTTTTTAATCCTCACCTGAGGATATTTTTCCATTGATTTTTAGAGAGAGTGGAAGAGAGAGGAAAAGACAGAGAGAAATATTGATGTGAAAGAAACACATAGATTGGTTGC